GCGAATCGGGGTCGTGAGAAAAAAACACTAACAAAGCTTAACCTTGAGGAACTCAACAACCAACCACAGAAGATTTAACGTCTGTAAATACGATTCGCAGATATGTGGCCTAACTTTCTAAGAATAACCTTCAACGGGAAAACAACCAATCAAAAGACGTTGTTTCTCTGCTAAAAATAACGCTAATAATAATGTACATAAAAATCTATAAATATCTCTTGATTCTCTCAATAAACGATCTGTTGTCTGGTCCTTGTCTTCTGTCGTTACACTACTACTCTATATTTAGCCTATTTCATCAGGCTGGTTATATTTCTATTTTGATTGGACACTAGTAACTAGTGTGACGTGTCTAGTCCTTTCTTTGTTGCAGACTGAATTCCATCAGTAAGGTTTGCAATGTGGCCACCATTCTAGGTAGCTCGCCATCACGGTGCACATTGATTTATTTCTACTGGTATCCTATTGACTCTAAGTCAAATTTTTAGACGTGCACAATATACAGTCATCTCTACTGGCATTATATTACCCGTATTAATACACGCTAGAAGTCACTGATACACTCAGATTTATTTTTGTTCCATTCATTATTCTTATACTTCAAACTTGACGTCACAGTCATTCATTCATTCGTTGAATAACTCTCAATTTTCATTAATTGATCCATTTCTGGTTATCTGTCTAATTATCTGCTGGTACATATATATATATGAAATTAAAATAGATCTCATAAACAAAATAATAAAACGCGCAAATAAATTCCAATCGTCTAAAAAATATCATTTTTGAAAGAAAAAAGAGCAAAAAAATAATAATAATAAAACAAGTTTTGAGACAACCTTGATTTATTCAGTCTTTTTTCATATTAAAAGTACATTTCAAAAACAAATGACATCTGGAAATTGTAAAAAAAATATTTAATTCATTCCTGGTGTGTATTTCACTTCAATGCTTAAATTAACTTTGTACACTATTTGTAGCGTATTATTTTAAATTTAACGAAGTTCAATTGAACATTGAACGCTACCGGTGGAGTAAAATAACGTGGATTTTAAATTTGTAATCAATAAAGTATTAGATATTTCTGTAATCAAAATCTCTTATTCTATTAATTTGCTCTCCTTTAGTCCTAAGTGGAATATAGGCCATCAAGGTATGAAATCCTAATAATCGTGGTGTTTCTTTTTCGGAGACGGATGGCTAACCTCGCGCCTAACCTTCCCTCTCCTCCTGGCTTACCATTGGCTAGTAAACTAAGCGAGGTTTAGAAGTGTGTCTTCAGAGAATCCAACCTAGATTACTTAGTTTGTTGGCGAGTATTCTATCACTGAACGACTGGCGCATATCTTCAACCTCAAAACAACTGACTTTCCGTCTGAAATTTGAACCCGTGTTGCCCAGTATTCAGATTCAAATTTCAGATTTATTGGTTGAGGATAGAAGGCTTGGAGCCTATGTTATAATCCTTTTCTAGTAAGTTTCTGTGGTTGTTCAAACCCTTCTTGAATGAATCAGTTGAGGTTGCAGATACCACTTCTTCTGGGAGTCGGTGTGAGAACCAGTACTCAATAGCAATGTGATTTCTTCTTGTCTTTCGAACTCTCCTGCTGTGTCCTCTAAGGTGTTCCGACCTTGTGAGAAGGAAAAGAGAGAATAGGTCAGGTCCGTAGTCATTATTTGAAATTTTAAACACTGTGATTAAATCTCCTCTCTGCCTGCGGTATGACAAGGAGATTGAGGTTGGATACGTTACCACTGAGGTATTCAGTTTCCTTTTGTCTTAATAACAGTATGGAACCTACCTACACATTGTACAATGACGACATTTCACTGTGGGATAGATTTTAACACCGTCACTAGTATGCAGTATGCATGTTACCAATCAATCACTTTATTCGAATCACAGTAATGTGGTCTGCCTGATACCACAAATGGTGGTGATCAAGAAAGTAAACACAAAATGAAATGGTGCTATATACTACTGATTGATTTATATGAGTAGTTGGATACACACAACTCACATCAATCAGTAGTACTTGCTAGGCAGATCGAAGTAATTGAAACAGTGGAAAGCCATTTTGCCTGTTAAGGGTTGAGCTCACAAGTGGTGATGTCAGTAATATCCAAATACTCATGTCAAGCAGTCAGTAGTAGTGTAACGACAGAAGACAAGGGCCAGGCCACAGATCGTTTATTGAGAAGATCGACAGATATTTACATGTATTTTTATGTACATTATTATTAGCGTTATTGTCAGTAGAGAAGCAACGTCTTTTGATTGGTTGTTTTCCTGCTGAAGGTTATTGTGTACTGCTTGTGATCATTTCTCAGAAAGTTAAGTCGCATATCTGCGAATCGTATTTGCACACGTTAAATCTTCTGTGATTGGTTGTTGAGTTCCTCAAGGTTAAACTTTGTTATTGTTTTTTCTCATGACCCCGATTAAGGGCGTAACACTGACGTAAATTGCTGTCTACCGATTTTGGCTTGTAGACAGCTCTCACCACAATATATGTATCCTAAAATCATCTTTCCTTAGATTACAATAATATTTTCAAGAGTTGGTTTGTAGGGATTAGATTTGTTTTTTACTAGTCTGACCACGGATTGATATCAGTTAGAAAACCATTGAAAACCAGCCGGGAGTACTGGACAGCTGTTTCATCTTAGTTTGGGAACCATCGGCAGTACGCACCCACTGGGGTTCCCAAACTAAGATGAAACAGCTGTCCAGTACTCCCGGCTGGTTTTCAATGGTTCTCTAACTGATATCAATCAGTGGTCAAACTCATAAAAAAATACAATAATATTCACATAAAATAGCATATCAATTTCTAGTTGAAAGTGTGACAACTGCAATCAGTGCAACCGATGGGGACGCCTGTTGTGGTTCAGTGGTAGCCTACTTAACAACCAGCCAAGTGGTTTGGGTTCCATTCGCAGCTGATTCATCTCCTAAATCTCACTTATTCGGTAGTAAACCTAGTAAATAGGCATGGTTAGGCGAATGGCTAGCTGTCTGTCTGTCTGGATTCAACATAGAACTTGGTACCGAAGTGCACCAGTTCGAGTTGCCACGTTCCAAATAACACACAAAGGTAGACAGGAAGATGAGTGAAGGGAATCAATAGAGTTTTGACAAGTATAAGAGTGAAACAGAATGAGTAATGACAGAAAGGAATATGAAAGATTACAGAGACTGAATACATCTGCGTAAGCCATTGACAACGATTTTGAGCCATGTCACCTATTGTCTCCAGCCATTGATTCTTAGAGTCCCGAGGGCCCCAACCCGGAAGTCTGCATCTCCCTACCTGACTCAGTTTAACTGTCAAGGATTTCATGGATTGATGAGGCCATGTTTTTGTTTGACCGCCATTTAATCTTTTTCAACCTGCACCTATTTCAGCTAGTAATACCCACCGTGGTGGGAAGGCGATGGTTAGGCATGCGCAGCACGTGACCTAGCCATCTCAATCTATGTAACTTTATAGCCTCTTCGATTGATTTTCCCTCTTTGCCCAACACTCTATGCCTAACGTCAACGAATGGCTAGCAACCGTAAAACACAAAAAAATCGTCACCACTACTGAAACTCAAAGGCTCAAGCTTAAATCCCTGTGTCCTATTCATATCATACTAATTGTTGTGAATATACATACAACTTGCGTTAGTGGCACAGCGGTTAGGACTCTTGCCGACCATGCACATGGTCCGGGGTTCGATCCCCTGCCGACGCACATCCGATATCAGTGGTCGGCCTGCAAAATTGGGCTACCAACATCACATGCTGAAAATTCCATATCTGTACCAAAAATACGGTGTGGAATCAAGCTATGATCCAAAAAAAACATGGATTTTATTGTTCTCACCCTTCTTTCTCATCTTTCATAAGAGTAGTAGAGCTTTCCACATGTCCGGAACAAGTGTTGAATCCCTCCTATTGCACGTGTATTCTCAGTTATGACAATTTGAGAAGTAAGAAAAGTGAACCCATAAAAAATCAGCTTTCAAAGTTGTTTAGTTATAACTGATAATATAATTATCAACAATGAATTGTGTTCAAAACTATGTTATCCAGTAAATAATAATAATACTGTTTCACTGTGTTTGTGATATATTTAATAGGCAAATTCATATAGAATTAATTTTCTATAGTAAGGGTTTAGTTATGTTTTTATGAGTTCATCACGGATTGATATCAGTTAAAGAACCATTGAAAACCAGGGAGTACTGGACAGCTGTTTCATCCTAGTTTGGGAATCATCGGAAGTACGCACCTACCAAGGGGGGTCGAACCCAGGACCTTCCGGTTACAAGGTAAGCTCTAGAAAATTAATCTGATGCTCGCCAGTGACTTGCTACAAGATGGAGTTCCCTGGAGTTCTAGTGAGAAGTCGTGGCCAATGAGGTCCAATTAGATGTCACGTGTGTGGATGGATGTCTCACCAACGACAATGGTTGGGGTCGCTCCAAATCACGAATTGGTAGAAGTTCGAATTCATGAGCTGGCCATTGAATCGGGTCTCAGTGGCTGAATGGTATACGAGCTTGACTTGTAACCGGAAGGTCCTGGGTTCGAATCCCAGTGGGTGCATATTGTCGATGACTCCTAAACAAGGATGAAACAGTAGCTGTCCAGTACTCCCTGGTTTTCAATGGTTCTCTAACTGATATCAGTCCATGATCAACTCGTAAAAACATATGGAATTACTTAAAACCATAGAGCCATTTAAGAAGGGGATGTTGTCATTTTGTAATCTAAAGCCTCAAAACTCGACTCCATTTTGACATAGATTGGATCGAGTTGTACACTGCCTGTTTTCATAATTAGCACTTTCGTCGATGATATATGAGTGAATGAGTGACAAAGTCAACCTTCAGATCCAGTTTATTCTCAACAAAAACAACAGCAACAAAACAAAACTTAACACTATACCATTCTACCTTATTCTTCTTTCATACTTTTTTTCTTTCTTTTTTTTTTGTTCATCTTATAGAAATCAATAAAAGTTTTGCTATCCTTCCATTGGTTCATGTTACACCAGAATGTTCTTTATTGAATGCATCAAAAATGCTCTTACAATATCGATTTCATCGATTGCCTATCATTGATATGACTCAGGGGAATGCATTACATATATTAACGCATAAACGAATCCTTAAGTATTTACATTTAAATGTAAGTTTGTTTGTTTGTCTGATTTTAAGTTTTTTTTTTCTGTAAAACAAAATAAGATGAAACATCAATGAGAATAATTTTCTATTTTACAAGTATCAGATATCTGGTGATGAATAACTAACTGAATTTCTATAAAACACAAAATAATTGAGCGAAGAATATCCTTTTCGATAAATTCCTCTTCTCGCTCTACAACTATATATATGCATGTTTATATACATATAATATTCTAGATTAAAAGTCAATATCAATATTGGTGTTTCTTAAATAATATCGATTTGTAAAGTAAGATCACAATGGAATTACAGTTCATTAAAGATGCTTAAATTATTATTATAATAATAAAGATATAGCAGCAAATAGAACATCAACTAAAATTAGGAAAATTCCACAAAAATTCAGCATCATTCAAACCTAGATGGCCAAGGTAAGGATAATGTCTGAACTAACTTCTTTTAGGTGCATAAATTAGGCTTATTAATATGAATCCCAACAGCCAGCCTCAGCTATTTTTAGAAGTCGAACTCTTAAGGCAAAATTGAGATTCGTAGGTATGCGGTAAATTACCCTGAAAGCATGGTTAACGTCAATCCTGTGTTCTGTATCCACAAGATGAGATAGAATAGCGCTATGTGAATAGATTTTGTTTGTCTTTTGCTTAACCACTCTTCAGGGTGATGTTCGGTAATCCGACGAAGAACACGCCTAATTGTATGGCCTATGCAACTAACTGGCTCACTCCACAGGAGCAGTTAAATTGGTAGATACATATGGAAGAGGCGAAATTAGGCAGTTTGTCTTTTATTCCCGAACGCAAAAGAAGAGTGGTTTTAAGCATCTTTAATGAACTGTAATTCCATTGTGATTTTACTTTACAAATCGATATTATTTAAAACACGCTAATATTGTTATTGCCTACTAATTTAGAATATTCTATGTATATAAACAAACACATATATATAATTGTAGAGCCGGAAGAGGAATTTATCGAAAAGAATATTCTTTGCTCGATTATTTTGTGTTTTATAGATGTCTGAATGAATATTTTTGCTAAACTGAATTTCTGTTGATGTAACTGTGTGGATCAAATTGATCAGCCGTATTTCTTGCCTATGAGATTTGCTTCAACGAGTGTCTACATATTGCCTGAATTAATAACTTTTAAAGTTGCTTGTTTGGTAGGTAGAGGTGAGCAGCAGAATCTGGGATGTACATTTTGTCTTATGTTTCACTCGTTATTTGGATCTACCTGGGCGAAGTTAAAGTATCACTCTCTGATTGGTGACATCTCAATGACCTCAACCACGAGGCTGACATCTTGTCACAGTTGAAAACATGAGCTATCATGATAAGACTACCTAACAGTTGGGACATATGTTATGCATATTGATTCACTTCTTTACTCTAAAAGCAAAATGGCCTTCTTGTAAAGTTAACAGTGGCGATCCTATAAACACTTCCAAAAACAACTTTAAACAGGAATTTATTTTTTTATTTTGATGAGAGAAACAGAATATGCTTCAATTCATTACTGGAAATTTCAGTCTAGATAGTTCATGAAAACGTTGAAGCTGGAAACTGTTTGATGTTTCTGTAGGCTTTGCTTAATAAATATAATTTCACTGGTGTAAAATTTCAGATTTATGGTTATGCCACTCATGCCACTCTGACAGGAGATAAGGAAATGAACAGCATACGATTGAAATTTCCAAGGCAATTGAAAGGAAGATTAAGCGTTAGTGGTTCATCAGTAGATGATTGCTCACCAACCACGTAAATGGTCTGGGTTTCAATTCCCGGCTCCTAAACCGCACTAAACCAATTGGGAGTTAGGTTAGCAACCTAATCATGCAAAGCAACCTCCGTTGCTACTGAAACTTCAAGGCTACAGGCCTGAAGTCCTATGCTCCACATGGAACACAAGGCATAAAATATATATAAAAAATTGTTCATAGTTATAATTCAGTTTTGATTTCCCCACTAACTGAATGAACCGAAATGTTCAGCCTCTGTGTTGATATGCCGGCTCCTAGTGCCAACGCTTTACCGATGTCTGAGGACTAAACTGAAGTAATTTGGTGGGTCCGGATTTTCAACTCCAATGTGAAGTCAGTGCTACTATACGGATCAGAGACTTGGCGCATCATAAAGAGCATCTCAAACAAACTACAGACCTTCATTAACAGCTGTCTTTGCTCAATACTCAAGATCAGATGGCCAGCCAGAAAAGATCAGCAACAGACAGGGATCTCAGGCAATGAGCGAACCAACACAGCAGAAACCAATTGTGCAACAAATCTGCAGGAAGAAATGGAGGTGGATTGGCCATACTCTGAGGAAACCATCAAGTGACATCACTAGACAAGCCCTCGAGTGGAACCCGAATGGGAAGCGACGAGTTGGTCGTCAGTTCAAGGGTGACTTGGAGGAGGTCATGTGAAGAGGAGATGAAAGTATGTGGGCAGACTTGGAGCCAGGTGAAAACTCTAGCAGAGAACCGAACGCAATGGAGACGTGCGGCTGAAGCCCTATGTTCCTCTAGGAATTAAAGGAAATAATAATAATAATAAATAATAATTTGGTGGGTAGTGACTAGCAGTGGAATCCAGGATGTGCGTTTCGTCACAACATCTCGGTCCAATCAATTAAGGGGAAATCAAAGCTGAATTAAAAATGAATAATAACTGACATCCCTTGCACAAAAGGTGGCTCTAGTGGCCCAACAAGGTCTAGTGGATAACACTTTAGTGTTTGAAACTATGGATACTGGGTCTGCGCCTCAGTGGGAACACCATTACTCACTGGGTGCATCATCAGGCACATCCAAATGACGAATAGATGCCACTGCCAGTCACCATCCACCAAATTACTTCAAATTGCTTATAATGTTTAGAAAAGTGCTCATACTAATCAATTAGAGTATGACGCTGATGAGCTCACCGTAATCAGGATAGTGGGCACTACTGATGACAGTTAGTGGTTACATAAGGAGTTTTTGATCCCTTCTTAATGGTTATTCACAGTTTCAAGCTGGTTACACTATTTAAATATGAATATTTAAGGCTGCTAAAGAAAACGTTGGTGAAATTCCTCACCTCTCCACATGTCAGCCACCCACCCACCCCCGACATCCGGTTGTCGGGCGTTGGTGTTGAATAACTATCCTATAAAATTCATTAGGAATATCAAAATAGGTCAAAAGCAAAATAAAAATAATGGTGAAACTAATAATGATAACATAAATAAGAGATAATATAAGGCATCTACTGTTATACCATATAAGGGATTCTCAATAAAGCAGAAATCAGGGTGGCATTCAAACCTACAAACTCACTCAGATATAAGCTCTGTAGGCTAAAAGACCCGATGGACCCAATTAAACAAAATAATATAATTTACAAAATACCTTGCAATGACTGTGAGTTAAGTCAACTACATAGGTCAAACTAGTCGGTCGTGGGTAGTCAGATTGTCGGAACATAAGAATTTAGCTAAGGTAAGAATGGTTGATCGAGAGAAGATAAGTAATTTAGAAAAATGCTCAGCGATTGCACTGCATGCATTAACACACAATCCGGTTGTCTACTCTGAGTTGGACTACTTATTTTCAAAAGAAAATTTAATCTGATATCACGATTTCATCATGAACTGACATCGGTTAGAAGATCACTGGAAAACATGGAAGTAATAGACAGCTGCTTCGTCCTAGTTTGGGACTCTTCATCAGTACGCACCCACTGAGGTTCTTACCCAGGACCTCCTGACATTCGCTAGTGGTCGCGCCATATCGTGAATTGGTAGAAGTTGGAATTCATGGACTATTGGATCGGGTCCCAGTGGCTTAATGGTCTACGAGCTCGCCTTGTAATCAGAGGATCCCCGGGTTTTCCAATGATCCTCTAACCGATATCAGTTCATGATAAAATCCTGAAAGCAATCAAATCCGTGCAAACCAACACTTGTATATTAATCTGATTGATATGTTGATGAAAGTTATTGTCATCAATATTTACTCCATAATCCAATCATTCCATTGAATGAGACTATAGTTCCTACTCGACTGATGCGAGAGAATCAATAATCACAAGGAACATAGATCAAAAGTCTAGGATCATTTAACTTATACAATATCATGAATAAATTCATATGGACTGATCTATACTGATGGGATTAGCTACCCTTAAACTAATCCCCCGTTAATCCTATTATCTGCATTATTCTGTATACTATCGTATGAAATTGAGAGTTTTTTTTAGTAAAATTAAATTTTATAAAAGAATCATTGAAATGGAAATTATGAGGGTAAATAGATAACGGATAATGATGATTCAAAAAGAAAAAAGAAAATAATGACAACTGGTTTTAGAGTTAATATATTCTGCTACATACACTAACCAATTTGATAACAACTCACTGAATTTTAGCGTTGTTTACTTCAAAACAGACTGATGGTGTTGTGTTAAATCTCTCATCAGGTGAAAATCTGTAGTTAAAACTTGAATTGAGGCAGGTTTCGATCCAACAGCTCCCGAATTACTGGCCTGGCATTCTGCCAGCTGCTAACTAGATTATTTCACTACAACGATCACCTGTTATACTCATCTATCGTGTTTGTTTATCTTTTTGTTTACATTCAAATGCGCGCGTTGAGAGTGAGACATAAGACTTCAAACTGTAATCCTTGAAGTTCCATTAGAGGTTGGTAGTGTCACTTCTATGAGGTGGAGTCGCTAGCCTCCCTTTCAAACTCCCTTCTTTTCTGGGATTACTGTCAGTCTGTAAGTTGGGCTAGGTTTAGTACTCCGTCAGCTGGGAATCGAACTTGTACCACTGGCGTGGTTGGCAGGGTCTTCTAATCCTATCCCTAATCATATTGAGCTGGAAAGGGATAGCTATTGGCGACACTATTTAAGAGAAACTCAGATTAAGAAGTTTATATTGATTTTTTCAGTGGTGAATGAAGGTGGATGGTCACCGTAAGGTCCTGGATTCAACCACTAATGGAGTAATGGATGTGTACCACTGATTAGTCTCAAACAAGGACGAAACAGCTGTTGTTCAGCACTCCCTACTAGTTTTCAATGGTTCTCTAATTCAAGTTACTTCATGATCACTCATGAAAGTGAAAAGTCTCTTAAAACCCTCCTACCTACCTAACTTTTCACATCATTTCTATACATTTCTGTTTTGCTCAATATTTTAATTAGATTTTTAACATTTTTTGTTTCTTTACAGAGGCATCATTTACCTACAGCAAAGTTTATGTATAAAAGTTTAGGAGAACTTAAACTAGGAACTTATTTGCCAAATGTTTATTCGATTACAAAAACTACAACTATTATTGAAGCATTGAGAATATTTTTGAAAAAAAAAGTATCCTGTCTACCAATAGTTGATGAAAATGGTCAACTTGTTGAACTATATGCTAAATTTGATGTGATTGTAAGTTCTAATTTTGGGATAAAAATCATATTATAAAAGTATACTACTATTAAATGTTTGTAAGTAGTGTATTTTAACCAATGAAAATTAAATATACATGCTGGTTTACATGGATTTGATTGATTTCATGTTTGATCACGGACTAACCATCAGGAATTACAGAAATACTGCTGTTTAGTCCTTGATTATGACTCTTCAGGAGTACTCACACATTATCCCACCATAGATCGAACCCAGAACCTCAGGGTTACATACAATATAAGCTACTGAGACGTAATCCAATGGCCCATCAATACTTATCTAATTGAAGTCAGTTGGTGATGGCACTTAAAATGATACTTTCAGTATAAAACCTGATATTTTACTTTCGTTTCTAATAAGTTGATCAGCGAATGATCCTAACTCCACTTCACAGTTGGGACTGCCTGTAAACGGCATATTGTTATGTCAGCTTATGTGTAGCAAAGTGAAGTGTTTCTGTCGCTGAAATTTCTAGTAAAATTGTGTAATATGTTATCGGGATTGATGGAAACTGTGAATTGCCTACACGGCATGTTGACCTAGTCGGAATACGGTACTGCTAACATGTTGGTCGCATGCGTGTTTATGTTTCAGATGAACTATTGCTACTATAAGAGGAAAGGAATAATGGGCGGTTTTTTTAAAAGCTGTTCTTCTTTTTAACATAGATTCATTTTAAAAAGACTTGATTGGTGTAGCTCTGGTCACGTTGAGTTTCAACTTGGGGATATTTGAAGCTGATGAAATTAGTTTCAACCCTGATGTGTTTGATGCACTAATGAATGATTCACTATGTCTACTGTTTGCTGCCAGACACCCACTAGATTCAGAGAAGTACCATTCATCAAAATGCTTCAACTCTTCTGCATTTCTTATTGTTTTAATCAATGTAATTATATCAAATGACCACTACATGAACTTGCGCGCATGTTTAATTAGCTTCCACTTAAACGCTGTACAATTCTTGAAAGAAATGAAGAACAAAAACTGCACAGAATTGGTTCTCTCTTCATATTCAGCAATGTTACGCAAAACATGGTATACTCCAGATTATTACTTTACATGTAAAGGGGAAATATTTCGGAACTAAATACGCCAAAAATATCTGCACTATATGTTCAGATATTATCTGAAATAAAGCTTTATTATTATTAAATATTGTCGATCAAATCAAGATCGAAATTGGCAAATTAATTCACGATTCGCAATTTACACAGCTCGAGGTAATAAAATTCCAACCGTCACCGCCTAGTTCCCCTTGGTCTCCAACTGCACATGTCAATCAATCAATCAATCAATAGTACACATCACTGTGCATCTATGCTTGCTTTCTTGATCGCCATTTATGGTAGGAAGCAGATCACATATTTTGTGATCTAAATAATTTTGGTTTTCAGAAGAAACTTTGGGGGGAATTTCATCTTCTCGAACTGTGTGAATTGTAAATTGTAAAACTATTGATTTCACGTATTACCAGTTCTCTGAAGTAGATATCCGGAAATCCAGATGCTTTGGACTGATTTGGCTCCCTAAAGTCAGGCATATTCTGTGCACCATTGATTAGCTTAGCCTCAAACGAGAGAAACGGCCTTCCGGTGTTAAGATCACTTCTATGAGCTAAATAGCAAACACTACTGGTTGGTATAAGTAGTATCTAAATACTCACATCAGTCAATCAATTTTTTGTTATTCCTTTACGTTCCCAGTGTAACGTAGGGCTTCAAGCTAGAGGCTTGAAGTTTCTGTAGCAGTGGTGATTATTTTTACGGGATGGGGTTGGTTGCTAGCCTCATGCTCCACAATCTTCCCTCTTTCAACCAGTCTTATTACTGGTTTGGCAAGGTAAAGGATTGCGTCGGTGACCGGGTAACGAACCCAGGATCACATGCGTGGTCGGCGACCATTCTACCGCTGTGCCACCGACACACAATCAACCAGTAGTAGATAGATAGCGTTGTGCATAATACTGACGACTGAATTTTATTATAAAGGGTACGGAAGTATATCACAGTGTATGTATCAAAGTATTATAGCTTCAGTTTATTTATTGACCGTGTTGTACACCTGATCGATAGATTGTATATTTATTAATGAAGGCACTTCTTAGCAGCCTTTTATAACTGACTGAGATCCAGTCATTATAACCTTAACCCTTATTCTTTCTTTCTTTCTTTCTTTTTTGCATAGAATTTAGCTGTAACTCGAACATATAACAATCTTGATATTCCTGTATATGATGCACTTGAATTCCGTAGATCAAACAGAGATGTAAGTTTGAAATTCTTTATTTCGATCAGTGATCCTCCGTTGATATCACCTCATTTATGACAATATAGGCTCCTTGAACAGCCGCCTCGAGATTACTTGCGTCATGGAGGCTAGCAGTGGAATTCAGAACGTTGGTCTCATCTTATTCAAGACTAGTCAGATGGATATACGTGCTCCCCACTGAGTGTTGATATTCCCATCGAGACTTGAACGTGGTATTGTAGTGGATATTGCTTTAGCATTTGAAGAGATGAATTCTAGGTTCGAATCTCACTAAGATACAGGTACAAACAGATGATGAGTCCCGAATAGGATGAAATGTGCAACCTGGATTCCACTACTAGCCTCCATCAAAAGAAGTAAGGTGGAAAGTTTTACCATTTATTATTTATGATGACTTGAGTAAAAATCTGTTTTATGAGATCTGATAAAGTCTGTTAATGTATGAAACACAACTTAGAAAAGTTAGAACCTTAATACAGATAGTTAACAATCAGGTAAAATGCATACGCACACCTACTGATCGATACAGTTACTTACATTGAAGATTACGAAAATACACCACTGAAACGCCTATAAAGAAATTTTAAAAGCTTCCTCTTTCCAGAAAAGACTTCTACTGATAGTGTTCTCCGAAATGAGAATAAAAGCTACACAGTTTAACCATCCAGATTTTATTATTATTATTATTATTTTTTCTCTTAGGTTCCAAGTGGAACATAGGGGGTTTCAATAGTACATTACCACTTCACTCTGTTCTCTGTAGTCCTTTTTAGTCAGCTCCATGACTGACCACGAGCTTTCATTTCCTCCTCACACGCCATCTCATCCATGTCACTCTAAGAGTCACGCCCAAATTGTTGTTCTCCCAGTGCGGTTACGCTTGGGGGCTTGGCGCGTCCAATCTCCATTTTCTTCATTATAATTCTTGGGCAGTATGTTCGTTGCCTGCTGGAGAGCTCCTTGTTGCTAATTCATATTCCAAACCTGCTTTGTTCCAAAAACAGTACTTATAATACAGAACGGAATTCTCAGCATTTGAAACAATATTGCATCTGATTTACTCAAAATATAAATAAAATTAAAACAAAATTAACCAGAGGAATTTGTCCACACTTACGATATAAAGTCAAAATATTCGAAGTACGAATTGAGAATATTAAATATAATAATAATAATAACAGTGAGTTTGTTTCAAACAGTATTGTCGATTCAGTTTGGAAATTTTAGCATGTTATAGATTATTGAATCTAATGTTCTTTTGATACAGTATGGTGAGGGGAAATACAAAATTAACAGTTACAACACAGCTTAAGTAATGTTAAGACTTATGAAGAAATAAATTAAAACAAAAAAGTGAGAGGATTATAAATATAAGAAGTACAATAACAATAAAGGTTGATGTTGTAAGGGTGGAGGAAATGTTTTATTTAGTAGTGCAAAGAAGGTTAGTTAGTTCATGCCTAACACTATTTTCATCACATAAAGTACGTGCCAAATATGGTATAGTGGAATTTTTATACTTAGACGTACGTGCATAAAGTCTCCTGAAAAGACTTCTTGTTTTACCTGAGGAGATACAAGGTTGGAGCTGCGGGTGATGTGGTGGATGCTCACAGTCTGACAAAATTCCTTTAGCAAATTTGTTGCATGAAATCAAGTGCCTATCACTGACAGTGTCAACGATATGGCCCAATGGGATACCACTCGCCCTACTGACTGACAGTCTTCAGAGTTCTACGAAGTATGACATAGTCTTTTTTAAGCAATCCAGGAAAGAATAAGGGTGAACAGTAAAGAAGAATAGGTAAAATACACGAGTTGACAAACTGTAAAAGAGGAGTGGTTGGGTTATGCCTGAGTGCCTTAACTTCTTAATGTAAAAAGTCAGACGAAATATTCTTTTAGAAATCGCTAAGACATGGGAAGACCAGGATAGGTCAGAAGAAAGAATTAATCCAAGATACTTAACTTCAGACTTGATTTCTATGTCACTATCATCAATTTTGCAACGGTCATAGGAACCAACAGTTTCATTTAACTTTCTTTTACGTCGGAAACTGAAATTAACAGTCTGACATTTGGTCATCTGATCTCTTCAGTGTGTGGAGCGAAGGAAGCTGTTGATAAAAGTCTGTAGAGTGGCCTGTTGGAGGAGGGGCTTTTCGTAACGAGCTCATCAAGTCTACAAAATGCACAGAATCACTGACTTTACATTAGTATTGAATATCCAAATCTTGTCTTTTATGTTTTTTTATGTACAGCATATTTCTACATTGATTTCAGATCAGCAGTGGGTCTGTCTTGTATTCCTGATTCTGGATACGACATCTCCATCCATACCATACGTAGCTGAAATGATGCTACTAAAATTAAAGTGACAGAAATAACTTCCTTCAAATTTCTTCCATTGATGGTGATTGATGCTTGTTGTTGTTATTGTTAGTTAAGAATCTTCATCATCTCTCTCTCTTCTCTATGTTCACTTGAAGTCCTATCTTTTCTGATTCTTTCGTCAATAGATCTTCTAGTTTGTGTGACATTAGACATAAATCATCCGCGAAGTCCAGATCTCCTACAGTCTTCTTGTCGTCAAGCCTATTCCTGTCTTCTCACTCCCCACGCTTACAGCATAATCCAGTCCACCAAAATTAGGAATATCATCGCTGATAGTAGGCAGTCTTGTCTTACTCCCACATATATGGAGAGAGAGTGGGGGGGTGGGAGAGATTCATTCCATTTCCTTTTGTCTATTTTTACGCGTGCTTTTCTAAATTATAACAAATTGAACTCATGAACTTTGGTGTAATGTTCTATGTTGACGATTCAATTGGTCATTGAAAGTTTAGCCTTATTATTTTATTATTATTATTATTGTTATTATTATTATTATTATTATTATTATTATTATTATTATTATTATTATTATTAATAATTCCCTTTACTTTTCATGACAGCGTTATCCACCTCCCCTTACCTGTTTAAAATCGGATGAACTACAAAATGTTATGGTGAAAATTATTGAATCCGGTGTAAGTGTATATTGATTTGTTTTAAAAAAAATTATGCAATATATATCGATAACAGTTAACACCGCCTGACTCTCTGATCAGATCCTACAGCTTTTCAACTATCGGATTGTTCTAAAGATTTTACTGACTTCATCATAGATCTTAGGTAGAGAATTACTAGGATTCTGCATCATTTCACACCCATAATGATTCCAGCCAAGATGCAATAAGGTTACATGCTAATGACTTTATTATTTTACCACAGTGACAGAAGCCATATAAATCTATATGAATCTTATATTCCGTCAATATCATCAACGAGTATCTTTCCTCATACACTCAACCTGGTGAATAACCGCACTTCAAACTTGTACAGCTATATAGTGTTGTGAAACATCAAGGCAGTTGGTAACAAACCATTTCTGCATATATATACAATGCAGGGTTTCTCGTGTGCGTAGCAACAGCTCCTGATGCCGAAAACCCTTCGAACCATTTGGTTTTACCTTATTTATCACTTTGAAATGATTTTTATATTGTTGTGGAATGATTTATAAGAACTACTGGTCTGTCGTATTTCTCCTTCTGTAGAAGTCTAGACAGTATCCTACTGGTACAACTTATATCCTTAGCTCCTCTACACAAGAACAAGTGAATTGATATATGCATATGTGAATGTTCAACGAATAAATGGGTTGTGTGGAGAAGGTCAGATATAAAGATCCATCAGTGAAAAAGGTGTTTTCTGAACTGCTCTCGAAAATCTCCTTCGAAGGAATTCAATTGTTGTCTCTACCATCTGAATTTCAGGTTTACCACTAACTTTTTCTTTGATACTTCTGTCTTTTGTAGATTATCCATTTTAAGTTTCATATGTTTATTGATGAATGCCAGTGGATAGCCATCCTTAATTAGAGTGTTGCAGAAAAAAACTCCATTTATCATCCATTTAGTGTGTCTTCAGTCTACATGGGGGACAAAGTACACAGTCAGCCATTAATCTAAAGTGGATTGATTTTCAGGTATTGATTTGTAGACATTTGTTCCAAGTTTGATCACGAATAGACATCAGTTAGAGAACCACTGAAAACCAATAGGGAGTACTGAGCAACTGTTTCGTCCCAGTTTGGGACTCATTGGCAATACGAACCCACCGGGTTTCGAACCCTGAGCCCTCCGGTCCCTGCAAAAAAACTCTTGAAAATTTATCTGATGCTCGCTAGTGACTGGCTGGCTACAGGACGAAGTTGTCTGAAGTTCTGGTAAGAAGTCGTAACCAGTGGGGTCCATACGATCGGGAGTGAGGATGGAGTTCCCACCGATGACATTGGTTGATGGTCGCGCTAAAATCACGAACTGGTAGAAGTTGGTATTCATGGGCTGGCCATTGAGCCGGGTCCCAGTGTCTGAATGGTGTACAAGCTCACCTTGTAACCGGAAGGTCCTGGGCTGGAAACCCGGTGGGTGCGTACTGTCGATGAGTCTCAGACTAGGACGAAACAGCTGTCCAGTACTCCCTCTGTGGCTGGTTTTCAATAGTCCTCTAACTGATATCAATCCGTGATCACACTTGAATCAAATTAAATCCCTACAACCACACTCTTGTGGAGATTTGATCAATTTCACAAATTAGGAAAAAAAGAGGTGCAGGTAACAATGTTTTCCTAACTAGCCTATTCAAAAGTATCGGAATAAAAATGCCCAAAATTCTAGTTTACTCATGGTTATCTATTCAAGTGAATATAAATGGCTTGACACTTGCCTAATATATAATTCAATCAAATTGCACAGGGATGAGTGAATTTAAAATTTATACATCTGACAATAATAATCTCTTATTCTATTACTATGGCTTAACAACAGTCTTTGAATAATTGACGGTATAGACAAGCCCCTTCTTATTCTCATATCATGTCAGTTATGCTCTGGTTCTCACATTTTTTTATTTCCTCATAAGGCTAAAAATCACGCATACACACACGTTGGATACAGAAAAGGCAATAAACTTCATCCTAAGTAAAAAAGCTATTTATCTATACTCACCTTCATTGACTAAAGGTACCCATTAAAGATCTTAAAAAAATGGTAGATTAGTGAACAAAGTATTATTCTTTTCGGCGAATTCATCACCAGGTTCTACAGTTATATATCCACAATAATTAAAGAATTATTGTTATTATTAACAACACTTATGCTTTGTTTAAATAACCTCTAATGGTTATGATCATAGATTACAGTTCAAAATCATCAGTAAGTGATAATATGCATCAATATAACACTAAACTGAATATGAAATAAATTAAAGAAAAGATAATATAGAATGTATGAATTTATAGGTTCGATAACAGGCCAGGGTTAGCAGTAGTGTCTGAATCTGTTTCTTTTGCACACAGAACTCCGGTCGTTTCAAGCGAAATACTATCGCCTCTGCTGTCTGGGGAGGCCTTTGGCAATTTATTCGGTACCGGGTAGATGGTAAGAAAAAGACTCCTCAATATCAGTTGTGTGGCCTATTTGGACGAGGTGATCTAATGCAGAAGTCTACAGTATTAGGCTGAATCCAGGGCCTTCCAGTCATAGGGCGAGCTCGTATACCATTCAGCCACTGGGATCCGGCTCAATTGCCAGCCCATGAATTCTCACTTCTACCAATTTGCGATTTTAGCGGAACTGTAACCAGCCAATGTCATCGGTGGGAACTCCATCCTCACTCCCAATTGCATGGACCCCACTGGTCAGGACTTCTTACTAGAACTTCAGACAACTCCGTCCTGTAGCCAGTAGAGTCCATCCAGTCGAGAGTGAGGATGGAGTTCCCGCCGATGACATTGGTTGGTGGCGGCGCTAAAATAACAAATCGATAGAAGTTAGAATTCATGGGCCATTGGATGGTATACGAGCTCACCTTGTAACCGGAAGGTCCTGGGTTCAAAACCCAGTGGGTGCATACTGTCGATGAGTCTCAGACTAGGACGAAACAGCTATCCAATACTCCCTGTGGGGCTGGCTTACAATGGTTCTCTAGCTGATATCAATCCGTGATCTAACTGAAACAAATAGAATCCCTACAGACTAATTTTTGAAAAATATGAACGCTGTTCAGAATTTAGAGATCAGATGTTTTACAGTGGAGTGCTTCAAACTTAACCCTAGCCTCAATTCTTCACCCTAACTTTAGCTTAATTGTAATGCAACCTGACTCTAAGTCATTTGGATCAATACGAACACCTTATAATAGATATATGCCTTATTCCAAAAACAGCACTTATAATACAGCATGGAATTTTCAGAATTTGTCACAATGTTGCATATAATTTACTGAAAATATAAATAAAGTAACTACAGGGACTATTACACATTTACAGTAGGAATAATGTCAAAAATGTACAAGGTATAAAATGAGAATAATAATAGTAATAATAATAACAGTAGGTTTGTTTCAAACAGTATTGTCAATACAGTTTGGAAATTTTAACATGTTATAGAGTACTGAATCTAATGTCACCTTGACATAGCATGGTAAGGGGAAAAACAAAAAATGACAATTATTACAGAGCTTGAATGGTGTTTACAATTATTAGAAAAACAAAGGGACTGTAAATATAATAGAAATAATAATAGTAAGACTTGGTGGTATAGAGATAGAGAAAATTGTTTATTTTACTAGTGGAAAGAAGGTTACTATTAGATTTTTTTATTCCTTTACGTTCCCAGTGGAACATAGGGGGCTTCAAGCTAGAGGCTTGAAGTTTCGGTAGAAGTGGTGTTTATTTTTACGGGATAGGGTTGCTAGCCTCATGCTCAACCTTCCCTCTTTATCAGTCTCATTACTGGCTTAGCAAGGTAAAGGAGTGCGTTGGCCGGGGATCGAACCCCGGATCACATGTATGGTCGGCAAGCATTCTACCGCTGTGCCACCGACGCATTTATTATTATTAGATGGTTTGATGCAATCGGTAGGAAGCCTTGAACCTAGGTTTCGTGCTAGTTGGCACTCACCAGTCAGCAAGGCGTATCTGAAATCTTGAAGGAACTCATATCCCTTCTGAGACTAGAACCCGCGTCACCCAGCGCTGCAGTCTGAGACGTTACCACTGAGCTGTCCGGGCTCGCGATATTCTGTAGGTGTATAGATACTTTTGATTGGACACTAGTAACTAGTGTCATGTGTCTAGTCCTTTGTTTACTGTAGACTGAATTCTATCATCAGTCAAGTTTGCAATGTGGCCACCATGCCAACAAGCACGAAACCTGTCAATTGCCTCCAACCATCTAATACCAACAATCCTGAGTGTACTGTGATGGTGAGCCACCTAGCATGGTGGAAAGGTTAAATTAGTTCATGCCTGACATAAAATACGTGCCACCAAATATGATATCGTGGAATTTTTATACTTAGACGTGCACGCATAAAGTCTTTTGAAATGACTTCTTCTTCTTCTACCTGAGGAGGAGATGAAAGGTGAAAGCTGCAGGTAAAGTGGATACTCACAGTTAGACAAAATCCCTTTAGCAAATTTACTGCATAAAATTAAGTCCCTATCAATGACGATATCAACGATATGATCCAATGAGAGACCACTCTCTCTCTACTGATAGTCTTCAGAGTTCTACGAAGTATGTAGACATAGTCTTCAAATTAATTTTGCAGCATTTTGAAGAATCCCGGTGGGTGCGTACTGCTGAAAAGTCCCAAACTCGGACGAAACGGCTGTCCAGTACTCCCAGGTTTTCCAATGGTTCTCTAACTAATGTCAGCTCATGATGAAAATCCTGTAACCAATCAAATCCCTACAAACCAGCACTTAAATATATATATCCTATTTATCAATATTTTCACACTTCTTTTTAAACACTTCTATATGATTATATAATATAATGTTTCCCGCCATGATTTCACTGACTCACTCACTCACTCACTATGAACGTTCAGTTCAAGGTCATTGGTGAGCTTGTTTATTTGGGATCGTATAGTTTTCTATTTGTCACATCATGATTGGTAGATTGACTAATTTAAAGAC